GTCTGCAGAGAAGGTGGATCAGACAACAGAGAGAAGAAAGTTCACCTTTTTAAATCAAATAACTTTTCAAAATGTTCCAGGTTTATAAAGTGACAGGATGTTTGACTTTGGTTATGGACACTACTGACATACTGGTGTTGTGTTTTACCTCCTTTGGATCCTCTGTCGTACAGTTTGGGTGTTACACCGTGACGGATCTTGATAGTGAAGATGGCTCGATGCCCCTCTGTCTCAAACTGCACTAAAAGACACAGCAAATGCCAGATTAATCCCTGGACTGGCAAGTGAAATTGCTGGGACAGGTGACAAAGCAGTGTTTGCCTTTAACTCCAAACATCAAGTGAAGCTGCTCAGTTGCCAAAGGTCAGTGTAGTCATACTGGGCAGCTCCCAGTTGTGAATGTGTAATTGACTGAATGTGAAAAAGAAAGGTAGCCTCTCAGTGGACCAACCCAGAATAAATAAAGGTTAAAATAAGTTGTATTTTCCAAATGTAGAATTAATACTTTAAATCTATGGCATCGTGCTGAATTCTGCCTGTGCAAAAGCACAGAATATCTGTAGTCTTGTTAATAAATATGAAAACATCTTTCGTTATGTCTAAAAATAAGAATAAAAAGTTCCAGAGCAGATAAGACAACAAAAAGACAATTTTTGTTTTAAGCCTCACCCGTGTCTGCTGTGCTGGGGTGAAACAATGTGTTTGTGTAGGTGACAAACTGCAGCTGTCGGTTCAGATTCGGCAAGAGGCTGCTGGACAGAGTCATGTGCATCTCACCATCACCTTTGATTGTCACCCCATCTACCTCTGATGCCACATTCAGTGTTCCCATCGTGGCAGTGAGATTGATCTGCAGTTAGATGGAAATAAAGTCGATGAAATGAAATAAAAGGACAGCCCATATGTAGAAAATGTAAATAGAAATGTAAAGTAAATAGAGATATGCTACTTACTAGGTAATGGTCTCCTGGCAGGTTGTGTAAGGCTAAACCTGAAGGTGTATGATAAGAAGGTTCAACTTTATTGCCAGTCAACCAAAGTTGACAGGAATTTATTGTAAACAGAATACTCATAAACAACAAGGAACAGACAATCGTTACACTCAACAGAAAAAAAAAACATTTAACACAAAACAAATAATCCAATAAGTAAGATACCCAGTCAGATCAGTTTAAAATGAATAATACTGAATACTAATAATACAAAATAAGGTACAGTGTAACTATACAAAGCCTAAAACCTAAGATTTTAAAACAGAGATCACTTGTGGATACATACTATTTCTTAACCTTTTAGTCCTGAAGTGCAATTGTTCAAACCTTTTCCCTGATGGTTAATATTGTAAAAGGGGAAAACCTGGATGTAAAATGTCACCTGCAATATTCAGTGCTTTTTGTCTAAGACGTGATTGTTTGAAGGCCACGATCTGCTTACCCCTGGACATAGGAGCATAGCTTAACCTCTCACTCTACAGTGGCCTATTTGAAACTTATTAAATCTTAAGACACTGCTTGAAGTTTTTAGGCAGATATATTCACTCAGAAATTGACTGCCATGAACTTGGAAACAGAGTTCTCTGCAGACCTCCCTCTTTCATGTTCTTCATTCATATACCTTCAGATGTTAGAGTTTCAGAAAGCAATATTCTTTGGCTCTTTGAGGAAGTGTTACGTTTGGTCTCAAATAACCCATAAAAGCTGTGACACTGGCCACATGGCCATAATTTTAGTGCACAGTGTTTAGGTGACATTAGTTAACTTCCTAAAATTGGACACTCAGTTTATGATATATTAACTGGAATAAGTGGATAATTGACTAATTTATCTAAACTATTTTCTTATTCAATTCTGTTTGAAAATTAAGTCAACAATCTGGTTTTAATAATCTGTCATCACTACTTCACTCTTGAGAAGTTAACCAAATTTAAACTAATTGTATTTTAGTTCATGTAGCAAACATTATATGTAGCCTTAAACATCACTTCATACAATTTCTAACACTCTACTAAAGCTGAAATAATAATAATAACAGTAATAAAGAGAACTCAACAAACAGAACATTTTAATGTTTAGAGATTTGATAGAAATTTAAAGAAAGTTACTGTCAGGGAGGTGACGCTCCCGTGAAGATAGAGGAGTGAACCCAATTAAAGAGCCAGTCAGCTGAGGCAGTAGAACAGACTTTAATGTCCTTTTGTGATGTCAGCAGAAACACACACAGTCTTGGGAGATCAGGCAGAAGAGTGGTACTTAATACGGTCCAGGGTCAAAGTCTCCAGCAGGGCAGCAGGGAAGGAAAGGCAGAATCACAGGTTGGTTGAACAGGCAGGGTGTCGATCTCAGGTTGGCAGTCAGACAAGAGGGAGCAGGCTGGATCACAGGTCGTTAGAGCAGGCAAGGGTCCGGTACCAGGAAAGCAGTCAGAGGAAAATGCTGGAGAGTCTAGACAAGGCATAGAACAATCTGTTTGTGCCAGAATGTTTGTGAGGAGCAGGAGCTCCTCACAAACAAATTAAATGAAGTGGTTAAATAATGACCTCTTCAACGAGTTTGTAACATTTCAGCTCCTTAGGATGAGTTATTTTTGGAACCGGGACAACACAGGATGTCTTCCACAGAACCGGGACTCTCTCCAGGCTAAGACTCAGATTAAACATGTACAGGACCACCTCACTGAGCTGGTCTGCACACTCCCTGAGGACCCTGGAGCTGATGTGGTCAGGACCTGTGGCTTTTCTGGCCTTAATTCTACTTAACTCCCTCTATACTCACATGTATGTTAAACAATTTAGTAGTTGTGCTTTAATTATTGCTCCTGTTC